TATTCTAACGATGGTTTTATTGTCGAGTAGAGACTAAAATTTTAGGTTCAGCAATAACATTATATTGAATATCACATATTTTGAGTTACAACGCTATTGCTAATAGCTCTGAGTGGCACAGGACAGGCGAGTTACTTGTTCGTGCCATCACTTGGTATCATAAAAAAAACATTATCTCATATGCAATGTAGAGACGGAGTAGTTTGTAAAATACTAACAATCTCAAAGAACTATATTACCTAATAAAATTATAAGCAAAAACTTTTGTTCCATAACTTTTTACAAAACATTTTAAATTTACCATAAATATATTTTTAAATTTTTGTTGAAGGTACAATCTGACACTTTTTAGATATATATTTGGTAGTAAGCATTTACCCAGTAAGGTAGTAAGGTGAAACGTGCAAGCATCCTCCCCGGCGACCTCTACTTTCTTTTGTTTCCGCAAAGAGTTATCACTGTTTAAAGGGATCTATTTCAATATATTTATTTTTGTACGAAATTAAAGTCATGGAACAAAAGTTGTTCTTTATGATGTAGCAACGTAGTCGTGTGAGGTTGTTATTATTTTACCAATTGACCATGTGTTAAACGTGACAGATGCTTCAGCTGTACCAAGCACAAATCCGGTCGTGTATGGAACACTGCCGCTACTTATGGGATGCCTCTGCTAACTACCAACTGGCCACCTAGGATTCAATCGACAAGCATGCCAAGAGGCTCGTAGGTAACTCAGGATTAGTAGAGGCGAAGCTGCAGAGCCTGCTTATAGGTATTCTACAAGATATATCATGGAGAGTGTGTGATGAAATTGCATAATTTGGTTCCGCCTCCCCCTTTCCATCACGGGGGACTAGACATGGCATGTGGTTCCACCCCTATGTTGTAGATATTTCCAGGATTCGCAGGATTCGGACGAAGCAATTCGTTTCCAAATTTATATGGCGAGCGGCTAGGGATTGGAATTCCCTTCCTGCGGACTTGTGCCCCGAACGCTATAACTTGGACCTTTTCAAGGCGAGAGTGAATATGCATTGTATAGGTGAGCATGCTACATCGTCGACCTTATCGTCACTTTCCATCAGGTGAGATGAAGGTCAAATGTGCACTTATTTCTTTATAAAAAAATAAAAAATATAGCCAATATTGTCCACGGAGATTTGATTGTAATTCAGTTGCCTACATACATTTGACGTGTTTACGAGTAAACATTCCATTTAGGGCGAGTGAACCTATCCTGTAATCGTATAAAATACCAAATATATTAATTATGTACGTTTTATGATTACACGCGCATCAAAGTCACGTTCCATACGTGATAAAGATACGATGCATGCATTTGAGTGAACTGGAACTATTAAGCAATCTTTAATTTTTAACTACCTAATTACCTCGCACTCTTTTAATTATTGCACATTTTTGTACTCTAATCCAATGTCACATTTAATATAGAGCTAGACATAATAAAATATTTTAAAAATGTACTTTTTCGTTTTAACCATTTCTTAGTATAATAAGAAGTAAAATGTAAAATAAATTGTGGTTTTGTTATAATTTTAGTGTTTTAACTACAATCGCTGTTTATGACTTTTGTTGTTATCTTTCACGTTTTGTGCCTTTCTCCTTCTTCCTTTAGTGTAATAAAGCCACATCGGAAACTGACAACTTTTCAGGAGAAAAGTTTAAATATTCTACGAGCGACATTGGTCGATAACTTTTTCATTCTTAAATAAGAGAGATTTAAATGAATATTATGATATTTGACGACCATGATATTTATATGTAATATATAAATATACTACTAATACTCCACTACTTTGTTATAATCTATATAGTAATCTGACAGTCATGTCAGATCGAAGGTTTTTGTGTTCGATCTTCGTATTAATAATTTGTTTCATATAGTTCGTATATGCTATTTTTAAAACTTCCTTGTGATAAAAGGAAATTTGATGTATGATCAATGTGGCTTAATTTTACCCAGGGTACGAACATTTTACTTGATGAGTGGTACCAAGCCACCAAAATTAGTGTGATAATTTTCAAAAATCAGTACCTTTTATCTGTGGCGTGGGAAGTTTAACAACTTATAACTAATTTATTTTAACTATAACTAATCATTCAGAGTTCGTTTTTTTTAAACAACAAAATGTTACAAATGTTACATGTTACAAAATTTTAATGTATTCTAATTGTTGTTGATGATTTTTGCATGTTAACTTATAATTTGCTACAATGTATAATATAATTAGTAATTTTACATGCGAACAAATGACATAATATTGCAATACCCAACAGGGTGTATGTACGTAACAATGACTATTTTTAAGATCGTATTACACAAATTGTACATGCTAGCAATAAGATAAATAAATAAATAAATAAACATCATTATGTCTATAACTGCGTGTAGTTTTTGATTTTGTTTATTTTTTAAATATACTATCATTTATTAAAATGATTTTAATTATAACTTTTTTACACATTGTTCATTTTAATTCTTCACTTTTATACAATAATACATATACAATATACGAGTATTTACCTTATGAGAGTAGAGGAAAAACAAATAACCGAAGCTACATGGGATTATCCATGATAATATGATTCATGATTCGGTATAATGTCATCATTTGGATTGTATTCGTTAAATAAAAATCAAAACGAAATGTCTAAATAAGAATTAATTAATTGTACTTTTTTTAAACAACTGAGTATTTCTGATGAATAATATGTTTACCACGATTGTAAAATGGCTTGAAATTTCGATAAGTTTTTTGCTAAAAAGATGGGACAAAGAAATAGAACTAAGTATATCAGTATTTATGAAATTCGTTCATAGTACACTGTACGAATTTCCTTCCCTTTGTACACGTACCACTAAAAACCGACCTTACTTGGATGGAGTTTCTAGAAAGCCCGATGGACTATGTTTCATACTTATAAAAGATAATTATTTTATTCCTTTTTCAATTTACGCTGATGTTACATAGATTTTCTTTGTTGTCTCTTTGTACATACATACGTTATTGCCAATAAAGCAGAAAAGAACGAGGGCAAGCCCATGATACGGACTGAGTCATTTGGCTGACCCCGGGGAATCTGTTTTGTCGCGACGATAAATATTTTGGCGCCTCTTCAATGATCAAAAATCCCGCTAGACCTAACAAAATCCAGACAACTGGGTTAAATACAATCTTAGATAATTTACCATTGGCAAAAGCAAAATCGAATACGGTACGTAGAAATTTAATAATCACTCGGGTGAATCGTTATTCGACGGCAAGTGAAACTTTGTCAACGAGTTAAAATTTATCGCGTATTTAATAATGGACACTTTATAAAATTTATTATTTTTCATGATGTTATAAATTTTTTAATAGTAGATACATTTGGTAAAAACCTTTAAGTTACTTACACACTTTTGCAATTTTTTGATGGTTGAAATAACAACTTGTTGGCATTTTTTTGTGTAACAGGTGTGCTGTGTGTGACCAATCAATAAAAACATATTTTGTTCTGCAATTTATGAAGATTATAAAAAAAAAATATACATGTATGTTCCGAATTGTAGGGTATGGTTTTCTCTCTTTGCTCTCTACTTGTTTTGTTATGTTTCATTTTTACATTTTGTTGTATTCAAAAATAATAATATTTTCTATTTTATTAGGTAAATGGAATTACAGCGCAATAATTTTCATTTTTTAACTTATTGTAGTTGCAGTTGGCTCAAAAACAAACCAGCTGCATCCTGCAAACATCTACATATCCACTACCATAATTCAGTATTTTATATGTATTTCAAAAAGTTCTTTATCATAATTTATTTGTAAGTCAATGATCATAATACTAAAAATTGTACTTGGTGAATGGTACGTCGAGCGTTGACACTTTGACATTTAAATTCAACTCTATGCTCCTTGGAATAAAAACTATCCAAATTGTCAAGCTTTACGTGCTCTTGGCTGTATTAGTTCTGATTAAGAAATAAATAAAGTTTTGTATGGAACATTCTTCAATAATTTCAAACCTTAAATCATGCAAAAAAAAATTGAGTTAGACCGTATTTAACAGGGACAGTGAGATATAATGATGAGTAAAGTTAGAATGAGTAATATAATTTCTTTATAAAATTGCATGGGGTAGACTAGGCATTAATTAAAGATCATTATTTATTACCTTATATTAAATGAAAAAGTTACTGGATGTTTTCAAAATTTCTCACTTGCCTCAGGGAATTGATCCACTAATGTAAAAACATTTTTTGCTGCTTCCTTTTTCGACAGAGAAGCTTAAGGGTTTCCTTTAGGGAAAAGGCTCGTTCCCAACTCTTAAAAATTTTACTTCAGGGCCCTGATTTTAATTCAAATTGGAATCGACCCGATCGGGCAGCCCATCCGCAATATTATACGCCTCGACTCGGATAAGACGTAGTTTCCGATCGGGAGAGGCAATCAAAATCAAGCTGGAGGAATGCACGATTCAGGCAACGTCTTCAACATTACTTAGTCATTTATAATGTGTAGGTGGTAACGTTAGAAGATGTACAAGAAATTAAAATACAACATGCTTGGTTCTCATGGGCAAATTTACTAGGGCTATGTAGAAATCGTCATACAAGTCAATTGTGTTACGTATATACATTACGTATTTATGTACTCATGTATTTATTAGGCACATTAAGTAGGCACATGTTTGTGTGTATACCCATACGTGCGAGTGACATTGGGCAAATATGCAAATCTCGATCTACGTACATAAATGAAAGAAACGTATGTCACGTCACCTCGTGTAAGTTTGTGTGTCAACAAAGCCATAATTTGGTTTGTAATAAATACCTTAAGTGCACTGCGATACATTGCTTTTCAGTGGCGCATGTATAGGTACAGTCAGACAAAGGAAGGATCTAGATAATTAGTCGTGGACAAAAATAGTCGTCGCAGTCGGGCCCTGGGCCAGGTGACGTCAGCGTCCCAGGGCCGGCGGCGGGGCAAGACGGGCCCCGCGCCAGTGTCGCGCGCGCCGTCAGCCGGGCCGCACGCCAACCGCCACACGTTCGAGCACCACCCAGCGCCAGCCGCAGACGTAGACGCCAGCCGCCGCACCCGCCCCCGCCACTCCGCTCCCAGCCCGGACACCCTCAGACACACGCGCACTGGTAAATACCTATTCTTCTACTAGCTGCCAAACGCACTAAGTGCATATACTTACATAGGTGTTGAAAGCTATTGTCTAACTGCAGCGATGCACCGCGACGACTGACGCTGATTTCACTTCTGCAGCTGCACTAGTGAAGAAGCGATTCACATCGTCTCACACTTCTCCTATAACCATCAACATAATAATTTTGAATTTAAACGTTTTTTTTTTTCATTAATAACAGTTTTAGGTATTTTCTTATATTGGTTCATAGTGGGGCAACCTTGGCGCATCGTGCAATGCAGCGGGGACCTTGCAAGTCACGCGTCACGGTAACCTCGGCTCACGCCGTACTCTTCCGATACAACGATATCGCCCTACACAACAATTACGTTGCCAGTTTCTGCCATGTTACACTATCCATTGCTTCTCGGACTTTAAAAACACGCACCATTGCTTCATACAAGAGGCGCAATCTCTATCAAACAATGTCAAATGTCATTAATTACTGAATACTGGGACTTGTTGATAGACACGCTGTGGAACGAACACAAACAGCTGACTGCCTCGACGACGTATTTCTTTTTTTCGGAGATAAAAAACATGACGCAGTCATTCAAGGACGGTCGCCAACTATCGAGTGGTATTTCCCGTTGAACGGCGCTATGGAGTGTCACAGAAATGACGCGCAAACGATTATCGCTAGATAGTTGGTCAAAGTAGAAATGAGCAGGCAATTTGTGGCGTACATATTTACTGGTCGATGAAGTAATATTGTGGTTTCAATGCGTAGCAAATGTGAGCAAAGGGCCTCGCCGTTTCCCCGGTTATCGCGCTGGAAAAACACGCCATACTTTATCGCAATATGTTCACTATCAGCATAATACGAGTACTGCACCGAAGAAAACGTAAAACACGTTACAATGTCCTCGGTCGAATTCAAGTTGATCCAGTTTTAATTAGTTAATCAAAGTAACTGTAGGAAGAATACGGCCACGAATTGAAAGTATAATTTTGTTTCGTGAACCAGTAAACCCCTTTCTTCACACGCAAAACTTGTCTTTTAGTTTAACTGGATAATTCAAAATGTTCTCTCATGCATTCGATGTTGTTTCCCGTATGCAATTTGATTGATTAAACGTTATGTTTAATACCACTTTAGTATACTTACATTACATAGGTACCTAGTGACATAAACAGCTAAAAGTGTCAACCAACGATGGCTAAAATAAAAGATGGTAATACAATTTGTTAAATAAATACGCGATAGAGCTAACGTGATTTGTTATTGTTTTGAGGAAAAGCTATAGATAAAATGGCCGCTCGACACTGTATGAGGCTCGGTACGTCACTTATCTGACTTTAGGACGTATAATTTACATAATCAACTCGAGGCAAAGAGGTTAACCTCAAGATCGTCTTTAGACACACTTTTTTCACCTCGCGAACGGCATTGGTTGGTATAAAACCGGTAGTGGTTACCCTTCGCCGAACACTCCATAGCTTATTTTAAATACACTTTAAACTCAAATTTTTAATTAATGACAGATTCCGTTCCGTCCACGTAAAAATATCGAAAAATCAGTTCTTAGATCTACTTAATTTTTTGTAATTTAATAATCAAAATAATATGTTTTCAGAAGGCAATGGTGAGAAAATACGAGAGAATGAGCGGCCGACAGTCATGGAGCGAAGAGGACATGGCGAAGGCTGTAGCCGCCGTGGTCTCAGGTAAGATGGGATACAAACTCGCCGCCAGGACCTTCCACATACCACGCTCTACTCTCCAGAGGAGAGCCAGCAAGATTCGCTACCAACTACAGGCTACAGAAGATCCTAAACCACTAATGGGGCATTACAGAAGAGTCTTCACAGAAAGCCAGGAAAAGGATCTTGTTGGCTACATAAAAAGTATGCAGAAGCACTTCATGGGTGTTTCTAGGCGTGACATAAGAGAGCTAGCTTTCCAGTATGCCGAAGATAACCGCCTGAATCACCCATTCGATGTGAACTCGCGAATGGCTGGCGAAGATTGGGTGAGGAACTTTTTAAAACGCAATCCTGAACTATTGGACAATCCGGAGAGGGATTTTGATATGGAACCGGTGAACTTTGATCAGTTTTACCATTTCATGTGCCAGCTGTCGTGATAACGTCTTGATTTAAAGGTGAATCTTATATGTATACCCTTAGCTGCTTTTTTAATGTTGACTTACGATAGGCGTGGATTGTCTATCGGAATCGGTAGACAAGGGGCTAACTCGACATATTCCTAAAAACTTTTAAATTGTTTGCCTTTTCAAATTTCATACAGGTTAAAAAAACAAGTTTGTTTAGTTTATGTAACCAATTTTTACAAAACATATTTGTAATCACGAGTAATGAGTTCTGTTTTAACCTGTTATAACTCATTTTGAGATCTTGCAACATCCACTCATTAAAAACCATAATAATTATGAGCTATTCGGATGCCTACGTTATTTTTAGCACGATATTTATTTAAATCCGAATATAGCTGCTAAGGTCACATACACTCCGCCACTAGTTAAGCTATACAAACTGTCACTTTTTTAACTGTAACTATGAACGCATTGTAAACGATATGAAGCACGATTTTTTACTAAGAATTATGACAGATTGTAACATCTTTAAGAGTAGTGTGCTGGACCGACAATGTGCAAATGTCGATTTTAGATAGATGAACAAAATATTTAACATAATATTTTAAAAGTGTAGGGAGCAAAGCTCGAACATTGTTTTTTTTTCTGATATTATGTACATACTTTAATTAGGTAATTACTTAATAAGAAAATTACTAAGTACTTATGTGTTAATGTAGTTACTGACTTACTGTGTTTATGTTAAAGTTTTATTTCTGTTGTTAGTTAGAACGGTAAATGGACTTGCTAAAATTACGGGCTGTGATAAAAAAGAAAGGTATATTTATAACACATATCAGATTTATTTATTGCAACGAAATGGTTTATAAAAAAAAGATTAATTATAGCACAAATTTACTTATTTTTGTTATTGAAAGTAGTTACCTCATGAAATCGGTTATTTCTTCATTGGACATATTAATGGTTCCACTTAATTCAATGTAATTCCAATGACAATTAGTTATAGTACTTAATCACGATGTCAATAGCGTACATTCAAAACAGCATTAAAGCTAGTTGCTTTAGTAAAATTGCGCCTGCCTACTGTTTTGAACTTTTTGGCCATTTATATAAAACAATCAATAGAAAAATTGCCCGCAAGTATCTTGTATATGCGTCGAAACACTTAATGATGACCTACTTAATAATTTAGTACAATATACACCTACATTCAATTTGCGTATAGTACAAAGTTGAATCATTAGTAGAAATTCCAATGATCCCCAGAACGTTTCTAGTGACGTCATTGAGAAGGCGCGCGATTACGTGAAATAAAAGGAAAATAATTTTGTTACTATTATGTAATATGGTACCAAGTGTTGTGATAACGGGTTATTAGTGGTGATTGGTTATTTTAGGAAGCGTTAAGCGGGAAAAGGGAATATAGATGTCTTAAATTTCGACCCAATTTGATGATTACAATCTCATATTTTCAGTTAGTCCATAAAATATGCATTATAGGTTATAGCGAATTAAAAAAATTTACTGCAAATAAAGAATTGCGGTATAAGCTAAATAAATTATTAAAAGTGATCTAGTTCCATTGAGGCCACTTCGAAATTGCTTACGTACTTATTTTACAATTAAGTACTTACTCTGCAGAATGATATTACAATGTCTTGGATGTTATATATATTGACACTTAATAATAAATTAATTACTCGAAGTCTCGTTCTTTTTTGTAACGCGTATGTTGACTGTGGGACTTCGTGACTAAACAATATAGAATGATTTCGTATAGGAGTTTTGTACCTTTTACTATGCGTGAAGTTATTCTTATTTACGAATGTACGTTGTACGGGCTACGCCTGAGTTTCCTGAGAAAAAAAAATGTTAAAACTGGGTAGATGTTGTGTGTAATATCTGAGAATGGCCGACTTTATATGTATGCCCTGTTTGTATTTGCATCTTAGATCAGACCAAATAAACCAAATTTGTTGGTCCCTAAAGAGGTCCAAATACAATAAGATCTTTTAGCACATTTAAACTAGTTTACATAAGATCCCTAAAAATCTGAACAATTCGGTTGGGTATCTCCTCTTTCTTTAGAATTCTGTTAAAATGTGATTTACTGCTCGTATATGGGGTGCAACAAATACTAGTGAAATCTCATGAGCATGACCTAACAAGTTCTTTTTTGTGATATCATGTCGTGTATCTGGTGGTAAGAACCACACCTACCTATAGCAGTTGCAATGCTACTATGAGTTTTAATCACAATAATATACAAAGTAGACAAGTTTCATATGCCTTTAATTTCACCGGCACCCTATGGTGGAAGTACATCTTTGGACGAACACTCGCAAGGAGCTCTACCGCCACAACGCGGGTTACGAGTGCTAATGTTATAGAACAACTTTCCCTTTAGAACCCATACCAAAGTCTGTCAAATTTGTCATCTTTCCATATAAGGAAAATCGACAGGCGGGGTTCCATTTGATTAATAATTTAGAGAAATCCCTGTACTGTGTGCATCGAAATTATTTTCGGGGCACTATTGCGACCAGACCAGAAACAACTAAAAGAAACTGGTTATAAGTCCTACCGATAATGGAACTCGGGATTTCATAGGGAGATCATCAATTTTGTCATAAATGTTCTACTATATGATAGCTGGAGTCATGAAATTTCACTCGTACTTTTTTTTGCACCTGTATTAAATGTTTTTCGAAGTGACCCGCGTGTCTAATAAATACAATTCAAGTTAAGCTTGGGATTAATATATTTTTCTAATAGATATCTGCACACTGACTGTCGTATGAAACATTTTTATTATCGTATTAACATATGAGCGAGCTTAGATTGAAAGTTTTTTGTAAATACGAAAAACTTGCTTAGCTCGCCATATTTGATTAGTCGAAATTAAAGTTTGTTTTATAAATTTCAGCTTTAGTAGTTACATTTCAAAGGCGAATATTGCCCAGTAGTCGTCGTGTACACCTACTTATGAATATATCTTATTGATTAAACGAGCTTAAAATGTAAAGAGCTGATCCGAAGTCGTTGCTGAAAAACATACCTAATGCTCGTACGATAGTCAGCACGTAGAGACGATAATACATTTGTAAAATGAAGTACTGTACTATTATCTGAAGATCAAGTTTCGAAATCCTTCAAGTTTTACGGAAACAGACGTATGCAATTGAGAAACTCTGACCCCGAAAAACGTTACTTAATATAAACCTTACATTTTACTACTAAGGTAAAACTTTTAATTGTACGGTTGACTTATTTTTGTTTTTAACCGACTTCCGAAAAAGGAGAAGGTTCTCAATTTAACTGTATATATTTTTTGTATGTATGTTATAACTCTTTCATGAGCCGATTTTGACTATTCTTTTTTGTTGGTAAGAAGATACCTCTATGGTGGTTCCATTTATATTTAAATATAATATTTCACCTCTAAGGGTGGCAAACTAATGAATGACTTTTGAAGTCGGTTTTTTTAGTACTCTGTACTGAGATTATTATCTGATAAGCTATGTACAGGTATTCAAAGTCTCTATTTAATTGTAACCAATTACCAACCTTATATCTTAAAGCCTCAGGTAAACTTTTCATTGCAGTGGTTTTTAAATTTGCAAGAAATCTATAATGTCAATTAATGCATTACATATATATATAATATGTAATGTATTAATATACATTACATCAAAAGTTTGTGGAATTACATTTATTTGCCAAGTTTTATTGAAATTGGTTAACAGAAAGTGAAAAATAATAAACCACAGTCATCCCCTAATTTGCCACCCTCAGAGGTGAAATATATGTATTTCAAATTTGTATGGAACCACTACTGAAGTACCCCCTTTCCAACAAAAAAGAATCATCGAAATCGAACGAATGTCTACTTTTTTGGGAGTCGGTAAAAAATACGTCAATAACACAATTGTCGACTTCCGCAAAACTTGATTAGCTCCGAATCTTGAAGTTTTCAAATGTAATCTTACTTAAATTTTCTCGTTACCTGATTAAGTTTTGATCTCCTAAGATAGTTAATAAATTTTATCCTATTTATTTAGAAGAGGAAGAAATATTTACTGTTGGAATTACGAAATTTTACCTTTTTAAAACAATATGCCAAATTAAGTTTATTGGAAAATTAATTTTTAATCTTTTAAGTACTTAATGATAAATTTAATTCGGTTTAATAAATTTTTTGAAAAATGTATGCTTCTTGTTTTATTTCACATCAATCCATGTTGAAAGTTCTAGTCTTCGATACTTTGATTCACTAACCAACCAGTGATGGCGTGATAGGGTAGAGTGGTACAGTCAAGAGCACGTCAAGCTTGATACTTTGTACTTTGGACCGATCTTATCGTAAACGGCATAGAGTTGGATTTAAATCTCAAGTGTCAAGCTTGACATCCTATTTACTATGTACACATTTACCTACTTACATTTACCTGTACATTCATTATTGCTTAAATTTATTTTTATTATATGTATATTATGTTTATTTTTAATTTTGCACTCAATTTTGTTTGAGGTATTATTGCATTAAATCTTGTAAAGTATGATCCATGTTGGTCGAAATAAATTACTTAGGTATTATATTGTTATTAAATGTTTTTGACGATCTCAGTAGCCCAACGGCTTATATTGTGGGCGCTGTATGATTAGGTCCCGGGTTCGATTACCGGTAGGACCAAATTGTGAAATCAAGTTTCAGGATTGATTCTTGTCTGGGTGTTCTGGAAAGTGCTCCAGAGTGAATTCCGTCGCTCTGGTACACATAGTACAGGGAATTTCCTAGCTTTTGACTGGCACATTATATTGTTCGCACTGGTATTAAAATGAGGAAAAGCCTATGTCCATAGATTGACGACGATGATGGCCACGTTGGTAGCCCAACTGCTTACTCTATAAACGCTGGATGAGTTTTTTATACAGGTTTGAGTGTTCTAGATAATGACCCAGAGTGAATCCCATTGCACTGGTACTCATAGTATAGGGAATTCTCTAGTTGGAAATCAAGTAATTGATACGGCTGTCTGACACGTTTTTTAGGCGCCCAATGAAGTAGTGACTCTACCATGACTTAATGGCAACAATTCTCGTTAGCGATAGCGTAAAACGCTACACAATTTAGTACAGCTAATTGCAAAGAGCGTTCCAAGCGGTCGCTTTAAGAAGGAACATTAGCATACACATATTTTACCTACTAAACACGCAATACTGTAAATCAACTTGTAGAAATCAATTTTATTATCAAAACGTAGAGTTAAAGCGTCCTTTTTAAACTGAAGTAAACGTGTACATTAAAACATAATAAAGTGACAATGGCAACCGGCAACCGTGGGACCATGACCTGGTGTGAGGAAAGTAACACAATCATGTTATCGTTGCGATGGTACATAATAATGCTTGCCATCGTGGTGAAAGGATAGTTAATTATGTATACTATAAGGTACATAAGGATACTTATTTATATGTGTAACTTAGTGTATATATACTGATGCTGTTTATTATGATTCATTATAATGCCTACTTAGGTATCGTCGCTTAGCAAACAACACCGCTAGCAGTAGAGCTCCTTCCGAAAGAATTCGTCCAGGAAAGTACTGCCACTTTACCTATTTCTGCCGCCAAACAGTAATGTCAGCATTACTGTATTCCGGTTTTAAAGAGTAAGGGTGCTGGTGAAATTACATTCACATGGGACTTGTCAACTTATGACTCACGGTGACGGGCTCTGAGCGGCACTGCAACTGTCTTGGACAGGCGTGTAGCTTACCATCAGGCGCACGACTTGTTCGTTACGTCACTTGATATTATAGAAAAAAATAATTTCATAGGAGCGTGAAAAACCTGTAAATATTATTGTATAAAATATTTTTGTAAAAAAAATTTTTACCTAATATTTGTAATAGGTTAATTAACGTGGGTATTCATAAAATTAGTATTATGGTATTTTATTATAAATTTTATAAGTTTAAGTGAGCAACCTTAATTACAAATTGGATTAATTGAATTCAATATAAACCAAAATATTGATATATAAGTATTGATGTATAGAATAAATATCCGTTTCACTCAACGAAACTATCATAATTTATTAATTCTTTTAAACTTTTGAAATGGTAAATTGCTAATTGTGTACTGTGCAATTAAAGTTGAAAAGGAAGAAAGTGACATAACTTGTAATGCGTGCGATGATGATAAAATATATATTTAATAAAGTCAACAAAATTCGAAAACCTCGTATCAAACATTAATGTGAACTTTTGAGTAGGCGCAAAAAATAAAATTACTGGAAATAATTGTATAACAATCTATGATTAGATGTACCTTTATTTTATAACTATAAGAAGGTGTATAAATTATATTTTAAGCTTAATTGCCCGTCACTACGCGTGAATGTAAAAAAAGGATCTCGACAAGAAATGGAGTTACGAAGTTTCCAAATTTAGCACACGATATATCTTGGTATTTAGTGATATATATAATAATACCAAGCTCTTTCTTCAGAATTCGGTTACAGTGTGATCTACTGCTCGTAATACAGGGTGCAAAAAATACTGGTGAAATCTCATGACCTAACGAGTATTTTTTTTCTGATCAAGTCACGCATCTGGCTGTAAGAATCACGCCGAATTTCACTAGCACACCTTAAAACCGGAATGCAGCATTGCTCACATGATTATTTAGCGGCAGAAATAGGTTAAGGTATTTCCCTGTACGAACTCACACAAATAGAAAAACACAATAACAAACTAAAATAATAATAATACTGTAATTTTAAATACATGCCGAATTGTCAGAAAGTTCTATCTAGCAGATAGAAGATGAAATGGATTCTCATCACGACACATCCTTAACATATACTTAACGTATTGTGTTTATTTGATTTCGGTATGTGAACGTGGTTAAAAACTAGCCAACAGGCAGAGAAAAGATATAGATAATAATAATAATAAATATTGATTTGCTTTAACGATAATGTACGTAACTGGATACAAGATAATTCATAATCAATTATAAAATTAACAGTATGCATGGAAATAAAGTACGGAGGTTAAGTTTTTTTTTTTTTGCACGTGTTAATCATTATTCCACATACACTGTCGCCTTCGGCCATTTAAAAAGACATTATAAGTGACCTAAAAAGAGTAAAAGTAAGGCTAGCTGGGGTTGCGTTGCATATAGCGAGGGAGTAGGTACGGAAGTAGCGTGCGGAAGTTACCTGCGCTTAGCGTTTCCGCGCGGTGACTGCGGTGAAGGGGCAGGGAAGGACCGTAATGACTGTTAGTGGCAGAGAATGGGTTGAAAATACGATTTGATTTACTTTTTTAAATTATTTATAACGTGTTTATAACATACATTTATTGCCTTCGTGGCCGAACGGTTGCCTTTCTCTTGTGAGTTTAGGTGTAATTTGTAGTTGTCTATTTGTGTCCATGGCACCCGCGATACAGAGTTTCCCTAGCGTTGTTTATAATAAGTCAAAAACCATAAAACGGTGTCGCATAAACCTATTACATATTTTTCTGTGCACCGCTTGCATATCATATCGTCAGTAATAAACACAAAAAAGAGAGTAAGAAGATATTCCAGCCCCTCCGACCCGACCAACATTCGACAACTTGCATGATTCGTTTATTGTGGAAGTGTGAAGATAAAATTGTCATAAATATTAAACGGTATGTTTAATTTTTCAAGAGATAACATTATTTGATCCTCAAAGATTGATCTCTTGTAAATGTGCACTTTTTTAAATAAACGATATTTTTTTATGTTTGATATATAATATTAATTGTTCCGTCTGTATTAGTCGATCTACGGATAAATTGTAAATGAACTGCGTTGAAGATAACACTATCATTATATTTAAGCACACGAAATTAATATTTGGTATTCCAAATAATATTTGATCCTTTTTTTTATTATTCGTCTTTCCTTTAATAACTGATTACATCTTTTAATATTGATCTCTTAATAAATCTTGGTTGCTCAATTGCGCCCTCCATTCAGTAGGTTAAGTTAGGTATGTATATGAAAAATGAATTATATTATAAACAATATATTATTATTGTACACTAATATAATCAACATTTACTTAAATTACAAAAATAATCTTCTCATTTGTCTTAGTTTTGAGGCCCAACATAAAACTATCAAATTTATACAAACATTTTTTGCGTAACTCAGAACAGATTAAAATATATATTGATTTAGTTTATTTTATATCACGGAGAAAAGGGGATCAATCATTAGTATATATAGTTACATTTTCTAGTAACTTTAGTGTGAAATAAGTTAGGATTATGTTTTTATTTTCAAACATTAATCTTTATAGTAAGGTAAATATTATTATAATTATTATATAGTAGTATTCTTAATCAACTATGTTACACTTCGTGCTTGGTTTTCACAGTTGATTAAGGAGGTATCGTTTTAACTTTTTTTTAACTTAGCGATGTATAAATGCAAATTACACTTTGCAAGGTTCACGAAGTACCTACGAGTAGAATAACATAGAATAATTATAAATAAATAATAATAATATAAATAATAAATAACGCACACACTCAACATAGCCCCGCACTAGGGAAACCCTGTGTCGCGGGTGCCATGGACACACATATAGACAACCACAAATTACACCCAAACTCACGAGAGAAATAATTGTAGGCCATACAACTATTTCTCTCGGCCCGGGAATCGAACCTGGGACCTCTGCGTGGCAGTCCGGCATGGTAACCATTC